CTAAAAATTTCCTTCTCAGCCTATCCTGTTACCACACCTCCAAAAACCCTATAACCACCGTTTTTGTAGGACAAAATGTTGGGACTAGTGGTATATGAGTGGGCCTACATAAGCTACTTTTGCCTGAGTTAGTTTTAAGTGAATGCAGATGTTGCGCACCGTCAACCGCACTCTGCACCTTCACTCGCCGGAGGCAGAGGCAATACGACCGAGACGGGATCTAGAGTTGGCTGCCTTCTCCAACGCAGGCCAGAACGGCGTGCGTGTTTAGTTTAAGGTGATAGTAGACATTGCGCCGGATCTACCGCACTGACCCAATTAAAGCTTGGCTGGCTGCCTTCGTTGCAAGCCTTTAAGTTTGAATTGGTGGTCCGGGGGGGACGGAAGGATACAAGAAATGTTCACCTTCGAAGTTGGGTACCACTAAAAACGATCTTCCAACTGTTTGTTTATTCCGGTCCATAACCGAGACTTTGGGGGACTTCATAACTATCATTTGTACGATGTTTAAACTCTTTGTGAAGTCTAATGGCACGTTAAACAGATTTCGGCTCAAAAGCAATGGGAGTATGAGCAGGAAAAGAGTACTTCCAAAGAAGTAGACCAAGTGACTAAACTGCTGAGCAAACGTTCTGCAAATACCTGGCAACCAAAGACATATTAAGTAGCGAAGGAACCAACAGAGAAAAGTTAGCATCAAAGCAGTATCAGCTTCCAGATTCGAGGATTAATTAAACAGACTTTTCAACCGGCCAGTTACGGGCACTCTCAGACTTCTCTCAGTCGGCGAGATACTCATGGAAACAAGAGTTACGTTATTTATTGATGGTATCCTAGGAGTGACAGTTTCAATTAACTTAGGCATTGTGAGGTCGGCGCCAAGACAACCAAGTCCCTGTCAAGCAACCAAAACAGAAACGGTAAGACGTCGGCGTAGGAAATCCTAATAATATAGGTGTTCTTACACCAAATTTCAGGGAAATTGCAGCAAAGACTTATCTAAGGGGCGAGGCTTAACTTTAACGTTCGTTTAAATTTTAGGGTTAGGCTTAAGGTTGAAACACTGTAGAAACACTGCTGGAACTAGGGTAAGGACACGAGATAGTATTTCCTTAAATAAAGCGATGCCCAGGTCGAGTAAACTGCTCGGTCATTGAACCCACACATTCCCACCTAGCTCACCGATTATTTTAACGACGGACTAGTGCATAAGAGATACTGACTTACAAATATGACAAGAGCCTTTGATCAATCAACAGCATATAGGTCCGATTCTCTCTCTCTCTATTATGATCTCTGATCGCTGACACCCAATTGAGGGATTTTTACACAAGACGGTTTACACATGCAGGACAAATGGCTGGCATTAAAGTGAGTAACATGTATCTGGGGAACGTAGATCATTATTAAGTTTAGGCCGTTTCAGATTAGCTACACTGTCCAGGTCAAATTCGGCAACATACTAAGTTTGGCAGTTTATTGGAACCAAATGAGATTAAACTCGCGACTTCCGATCGGACACCGCAGGTTTGAGCATTGGCACAAAACTCGTTGCAGGTGCTGTTGTGGGTTAAAACCTCACCAAAACCCCTGGGTCAACGTGTGCTGACGTGGTTTGCACTACACTAATAAAATGTCGGTTGGGACTCCTTACAGTAAGCGCCAGAATTTGTGGAACGTGCTGACATATGCGAAAGATTGATACCCTTTTACTAATCGGCATTGACCCAGGCTGTGAAACTGATTATAGTGTAGCCTATTCTGAACTTTTTCCAATCATGAAAGGATGCAGGCTTTTTGACGAGTTTCGTTCTGACCAATAGCAAAAAAGTAACTACCTAAGTAGCGTGCGTTTTTATCATTGATTATGACTGCCTTTATAAATTCAAATACATTCTGTGGAAAACATGCACGAAAAAGTATTTTTGTACCCATTAGGAAGAAGATTACACCTTCTTTTAAATGTTATGCTTAAAGAAAGGGCATCTTTCGGTTTTAAAAACAGTTTTTTAATTGCCGAATAATTTTGGAGCCTACTGAGTGCTACACTCAAATTCAAGATTTACAAACTGCGCATTATGCACATTCTGTTTAAGGAAAAGTACGGTTTCGTCGGTTGTTTGAGGACGACGTCACATAGTTCTCATAAAATGCTGCAATAGATGTGTAGCATGCTTTATACAGTATAGGCAGCATAAGTAAATTGACGGATACGATTGTTTTATGAATGAACACCTTGCAATCGTAAAAAAGCTCATGATTAGAAATTCTTTTAAAACCGAAGAATACCCTTTGTTTTAGTATAAAATTTAAAGAAGACATAATTTGCTGCTAAATGAGTACAAGAAATATTTTTTTCTTTTACGTTTTCCATAGAATATATTTGAATTTATAAAGGCAGTCAAAATCAATGATAAGAATGCATACTAGTTAAGTAGTTACTCTTTTACAGCACAAACGTTTTGTTAGTGGTCAGAAACAAGTTCGTTAAAAAGGCCGCATTCTCCTATGACTGAAATAACCTCACGACTTGAGTCATTGCCGATTAGCGTAAGAGTATCAATCTTTCGCATATGCGGGCATGTTGCACGAATTCTGGCGCGTACTCTTTACCTTTTGACCACCTTTGTGGCTCCCGGAAGTGTAATTCTGAAGCAAAGCCTTATCGACCGAAAACATGCGTTTAAATTTAGATTTTTGCCCGCTTTTGTCTACTCTTTACCACAATAAACGAAAATAGTTAGGCTGAAGTACTTATCTCGGCATTTCCAGAAGCTGTTTTAGAACACACTACTAAGTTTTAGGATAATAGAACTATGCTGAAATGGCAAACTATGAGCGTTGAAACGGGGTTAGTTTTGCTAAATATCTTTTATTACTACATTTTTGAAATTATGTTTGTATTTCAAATATGTACTAGATCAAACTTGGCAAAGTTTAACAGTCCAACTACCTAAGGCGGATTTACTCGTTAATAGCCGAATGTGGCCTCTTGGAAAATTTCGTGAAACAGAAAGGTACATCCAGCTGCCAAGAACCGCGGCATAATCTTTGATGCATCAGCCTGCTATGACAACATTTGAATTTTCACTGCAACTCAGAGTAAAGTCTTAATCTTTTTGCCCATAAATATCCAAGAGACTCCATTTACCTCTTTTAAATTGCCTTCCAGGTAATTAAATGATTTGAATTTTATAACAAAGTACTACCTGCTCCATCCGAAAAAACGTTTAGCATACGTTCCTCTGGATACAAGAAATGCACGGTTCATAAAATGTACGGGCAGAGCGTTCATCGGGGACCGGATCCGCCAAGGATTACTTAGTTGGCCCCAAAGTCGGAGAGGTGAACAGGAACACCCGTCCAATTAATAAGGGTGATCCTGTGCCTAACTCCAGCAAGAATTATTATCTCCGTATCCTCTCCCTTACACTAGCTCTTATCTAAACCGAAGCCCTAATCTTACCGCTACTCCTACCCTTGACACTAACTCTATAGTTAGCTCTTACCCTATTTTTTTCAGGAATTTGACACAAAACAGCTTATATTGCCCGCGTTCCCTGTTCCTATACCTTGATGAGGGACTCATCTAAGTAATCCTTACTCCGGATCAGCTCATCTTTTTAAAGTCGATAAGCAGGATTCGTTGCCCCTTTGAGGCAGCTCCTCACGTTGCTAAAAATTTGTTTCATTCAAATTAAGACACCATAGAGTCTAAGTCACCCAATGCGATTTAAAGTAAGATAGAAGGAGAGAAGAGTCACATTGGTACACCTTAAATGCGTATACAGATTCATATAGAAGCCTAAACAGACCGATTAACGTCCTCACTGGGCAGCTGTCTAGAAGGTCCTCAAATAGGATCTACTTAATTTTAAGCATGTTTTCGCTGGTGTTAATTGGAATATTGTACAAACAGCAGGATTTCATGGACCCGTGCCCACCTTTTTGCTTCAACAGTGTTTAATCAGGCTTACGTTACTGATTAGTTTTCATGACTAGGTTCTCTGACCTTGTTGACCTTTCTGAACGAATTCATTTTTTAGCATTTTCTCCCACTTACTCACGTTATACAGCGAAAGGATGCAGCTGATGAGCGCTCCCGAATCCATTAAATTCTGCTGTTTTTGAACTCTTCAAATCTGCTTAATTATTCCGAATTATTATTCACCTGTGGTGATGTCAATATGTCCCCCTCAGTTAGCCATCCTCACGATTTAAAGCTAACAAGTCGGTTTTGTCGCTCTACTCATAAATATTCAGCGGCTGCTATTGTGACTATGGTGCCCTTACAACCTAGTAAGCGATCGCATTCTCCTGATCGCTGATAGCCGGTGTCATATAAGTGCGCAAGGAAAACCGTTTTAGGTAAGCAATAGTTTGCAGTATTTTCCATTATTATTGTGATAAGTATGAAGGTATCTCTCTTCCAAAATTTAACTCTGGATGTCCTTTGTTTGTAATTTAGAAAACATAGCAGTTCATGGATGCCTTCAGCTGTTGGATGTACGTCGACCGGGTGTCAGCTTTCCCTCGAGGCCAGAAGTCTTCGTCCTTCTCTGTTCTACGCTCCCACTCATTTTCTCGACACTAGCCCGACCCATCTTTTGGCCCTATCATCCACGCTACTACCAGTTCATCAATGAGTTGGCCCTGATGCAGGCACGTCTGTTTTTTGATCTCTTTACGAGGACCGCCTCAGTCTACCACCTGGTCTACTGGGCCTACCGAATGCCAATCATACGGTTTATTTGGAGAACCTACCTGCGCTTTAAGGCCTTCAGGGCGGTTTGGACGAAAGAACACATCATTGAGGTGTTGCAGGACAAGTTTGCGCCCCCCAAGGACACGCGACTGCAACGTGCTTTCCAAAATAATCCCGAATATATGTACTTCTACGCTCAGTTTCTGCAGTCTGGCTTGCCTATGCAGTACTTACAACTAATTAATAAATCCGGCGCCCGCAGCCCCGCGGACATATCCACAGCCGGCTTTGACGGTCTTCCACCGCCAGGACAGCCAGGGAGCAGTAGCAAATACTCCCCCAAGCGTCAGGGAGCCGAGTCCAAAGCTGACGTGCTGCAGCGGGTGAACCTGAGTAACCTGATGGTGCCCGGTTCCGAGGGCAGCA